CCTGTCAGGAAGCACGTCTTATGCTTGATGCTGTTTAATGTATTCAGTCGTTTATGAGTCGGTGCATTTATTCTCGCCAGTTTGTGGGTTGAACGTATCAGCTGTTTTTGCAATACAGCCCGTACTTCCTATCATATGCATGGAGGCATCCAGTTTTTTTTCTGACGGATGTCACTGGCTACTACAGTATCTGGAAGCAGTGCAAAATATACAAGCATCTCGTTAAGGTACGTCTGCTTGCATCGAGCAGTACGGCTTTTGTTCCAGCAGTGAACATTATTGAATATCAGTCTGAATCATTACTGCTGACGGTTGGATAAAATAAATCATTTTCTCTGTTCGTGCAGCACTGCAAGACAAACCATAGCAGCTGTAGTATTGTCCGGATCATTGTTTTTTTGCTTATAAGTAGCAATTTTTTGTTCAGAGGAAAGACGAAATAATGAAAGATTTCATGATCCTTTCTGCTGGGGAATGTTGAAGATTGTGTCAACTCCGGTTAAGGTTGCAGCATGACTGGAGTTGGTTCTGAGATAAGTTTTAATAATACCGATAGTACGCGCAGTGCATTAATAGTCAAAAATACATGGTTTAATGTATTTAAGCTGTTTTCTACAGTGGAGATCGAAGCTGATTATGAAGATTGTTCAGTAGCACATTGAGTAGGCGGATTTTCTGATCAAAAGTTGTTTTACTAGTGCTGACGTTGACTCGTCAATGCGTTTACTTGACTTAAACCTATTCACTAAAAACGTCAACAATAATAGTATAGCTCTCTCGATCCTTGGCTAGACTACTTATATGCACCTCAAGTTATGTAAACATGTTTGCATTATTCTGTGATAATAATGATGAGCATATAGATGCAAATATACGGAGGTTTTTTAGGGTATGATTTGTGATGTAGAGAACTAAGAGGGTACCTCTGGCATGATTTTATGGCGATGTCACTAAACCTGTCCGTAAGCAGCTGCCTGCAGTGCGCGTATACCGTAAATTACTAACTTCCGGCAAACTGTACGTGTATCAATGTTGTAAAATACGCGTTTAAGACCGCTTGTTTCATACTGTGGTCTATAATTGCTCATCATGTTTAAATGAAATGTCGGCCTCAGGATATTTATTATTTCTCGACCTAAGTTATTATGCCATCAGTAGATAAAATGAGT